GTTACTCTTAAACAACTGTACAGATTTGGAAAAAACTTAGTATACTAATTTTAGTCTTCTAGCGACACATTTGGGCGAATATATGGTACAATATTATATAACATTCAAACATTACAATGGGTATGATATAATAATATTTCTAAACATCAAGAACTTAGTTCTAAATTGTACTGATACCACCAATAACAACAAAATAGAAAGATAAAAACTGTACCAAAACATATACTTTGTGTAATAAAAATATAAATTTCTCGGACACATCTCGCGTCGCCACTGCATTTAAATCATGATATACGTACAATGTATATTCACAACTGTACGATGCCTTAGTGGGATAACCTCAAGCTCTTACTTATCCCTCTCATTTCCCTTGTCTGTCTAAGAATTAAATTTCCTGTAGAAAATAGCAATCATATATTTTGTATAAAATGTGTTTTGTTCATATAGTCAATAATTTTAGATTGCGAATTTTCATTATATGAAAATACTTGTGAGATTTAAAACGATGTAGCACTTAGGATTATTACCCAACTGACGAGTCACCACGTTTTGTTTCCTCTTCAAAGAATAGAACATGAATATTATTTATAAGTTAACATTTAAGTTTATATTTTTCATTGATTTTTTAATTAACTTTCTTTTTACATGGCTTTGCTCGCGCTTTACGAGGATATAAAATAATATACGTAATTACAAGGATTGGGCGCCCAAAATGAGAACCCAATAAAAAACTTTTCCTTGGGCGTTTAACTAACGGATTTTAGAAAACTTTTCAGTACTTTGAAACTGGATAATGCCTTTAACACCAAATATAAGATATAAAGTAAATAAGATATAAAGCAACTTATTTTCAATTACCGTTCTTAAAAATTAAAAAAGATGAATTTTGTAACTAGATTTATATTTTAATATTTTTTATTGAATATTAAAAAACAGCGAATTCTTTATTTAACTTAATTTGTAGAAACATCGAAAGTCGACTTTAATAGTCGGCTTTTATCTTTATTTATTCTATTTGTATTTTCCAAAAAAGAAAAAAAACTTTTACTGGAATATCGAGATGATTATTGTTTCTTACTTTGACAATAGACATGATTGAAACATCTGTTATTTAAAAGCATCTTTTATGATGAGGTTGACATCGTAAAGGCTGAAGAATTGAATATATGCCTTTCAAAAGCTCACCCTTGAATGACTTCTTATCAAACCTTCGATATATTGTAACGTCTGCCAAAGCTATATCAAACCACACAAGGGAAAAAAGAACTTGAAAAAACAATCATATATTCTAAAAACTCTTATCTTAGAGCTCATTACTATCGTTTTTAAACTTCATTTCAACTCATCCATACTCACAAATTTTCACATTTATAATATTATTATAGATTATCTGTAATACTTTAAAAAAACATTTTGACACTGTAAGCGAAGAGACTTGAAAAAAATCAATGAAAAATATCAGAACTAAGTCCCATAACACCTGTCTAGTATTTATAGTTATATAAAAACTTTTTATAGTCATTATCCTAAAATTACTTCCAGAGAATATCAAGAACGATTAGTAATAAAAACTATAGTATTCTATACCATAAAAACGCTGGCTCTACATGAAACTACCAAATTAAAACCATGCATTTTACGAGTTCGCAGAGTGGAAAATCGTTTCGCTTATCTGCACCCAATTTTGATTTATTCGCAATTTGATATTTGTTATTTTACTTTTAGAAATCATATAATCTATACTAATAAATGGAGAGCCGATTTTTTGTTCGGTTATACTGCGATAACTACTGAACCGATCGGAATAATATTTATACCATAAGATGCAGCGTGTTTCGGAGAAGGTTTTATTACATGATATATTGGTGATTAATGTACTATGCGGGCGAAGCCGCAGAAAAAGGCTAGTTACACTAATAAAACAACTTCACTTCTTTAGTACTTAAATATTCTGTTTCATATTAGGGACATTATAGAGGCTTTATTGTTGGCTTGAAAATGTATTGAATACATGTCTAAACTTCAAATGTACTTAAAAAGCTTATAAAGTTTTAAATGACAATTTAAGTATAATTTTATTTCATTTGTACAAGATTCGTAAGAATACTTAAGTGATTAATTACACGAAGGCAAGAAAAACAACGAGTTTTATAAAAATGGCAAATTATGTTTGAGCGTCTCTTTTTTGGTGGTTTAATTTGACATTTTTGCAGAACAAAAACATTTTTGTTATAAATTATTTCCCTCCATTATTGAATACTTGTAATATAGTTATATGACTAATTGTAAAAGATATATTTTATTGCTAAATGAAAGTAACGTCATTGCAATATTATTAATAATTAAGATGTAAAAAATATACTTAATTTTAATATATAATTAATAATAATATAATTTATATTGTTTATAATTAATATAATATTTATCAATCTTTAATATGTATATCCCTTGCGGGGTAGGCAGAGAGAACACTAGGCACTACGATCTCTACATGCTTTTTTCGCTTAACTCATTGTTATCTTTCTCTTCTTAAGATACTATAAAAAATCTTTTTTAAATAAAACTATCTTTTCGGGTTATTTCGCGGATTTATTTCGCGTAAATCTAAGAAAGTATTATAAAAAATCTTATCTAACTGTCGGTAGATATTTATAACAGCTAAACAGATTTTAACGAATCTTTTATTTTCCCGTAAAGGATTGACTCGGGTATATTGTTTGATATATCGAGGGAAGAAAAGGTAGAGCGGGATAACAAAATATAACACAAATTCAGTTATTGTGCGATAAAACCACTCGATACATTTTGATATTGACATCGTAGGATTTTATTTATCTAACACCTTAGTCAGCATTTAAGGTATACCCAAAAACAACAAATAATAGGATAGTAGAGGTAACTGAGAAAGTTATTTTAGTATGTAGAAATGATGCGTGGATTTTAAAAGAATAATTAAGATACGACTTTCGATATATTTATTGATCTTGTGGTACATTAAGTTAACGTGAGACGAACGAACCTAATAAATGCTTATTCCAAGGTCTTCGACTCACCTGAAAAAGAGATAAGGAAGCTAAATCTGCAAAAAGCTACAAGTATAAAGAACATAGTAATTTTTTTGACCAATTTCTATACATATAATAAAATTGTAACTAAGCCGAATCTGTATATTAAATATTTTTTGGAAAACCTTATTGAAATAAATATTATTATTGATAGAGAGGATTTTTTTTTTGATTTGAGCAACTAAGTTCGAGTTTCGATAAATTTGGACATACATATTAGATATAGAGTATGTTCTACGAGTATACTTTGTATTTAACAAAAGTTGTCTTAATTAAGGTAAAATTTCAAATTTAATTCTAAGCTTATCAGTAGAAAAATATGCATGTAGAGTCGAAGCAAATAATATAATATTTATTGAAATATGTTTCCGCTTTGTCACCCCCTATGATAAATTGTTGTAATTTGCGTCTCCTTTTCGTAAGACAAGTGACCTGCGAAACTTGCCACATTAGTGTTTGCCGCATTTATCTTTTTTGCCTTAAATTATCCAAGGCGCAATTTATTATAGCTGTCTGACAACGAAATAAGCGAATATGGAAGGAAATGTATGGAATTGGATATTAAAACAATGTAACCTATATAATATATAATATAATGCTTTATGTTTGTTTTGCTATAGGTAATAAATAAACTAAAAATATTTTGATGTCTTAAAAATATATTTTTCCTTATTCAAATATATTCGCTTGTGTGCTTTTTTAATTTTACATTCTTCCAAATTAAATTATTTTGTTGTTATATCTATACATATTATAATAAAATTGTTACTAAGCCAAATTTTTACATTATATATTTTTTGGAATATCTTATTGAAATAGACATTATTATCGATACAGAGGCTGAATCTTTAGTTTTTAGAATTGTTGTCTGTCTGTCTGTGACCACATTACCTAAAAACCACTGGAGGGATTTTGATAAAATTTGGTATGTCGACAGCTGGTTATCAGCTGGGTCAATATATAGGATACTTTTTACTGCGGGAAAATATATCATCTCTGAGAAATCTATACTAAGCGCTAAAAAGTAAGTTGGAACGAACCCGAGCGGAGCGAGAGTGCGTCGCTAGTTAGAATATAAATATTGATTTATTACCAAAATAATACGGACAACTTTTATTTTTCCCGGCAAAAATTAGTTTATGGTAAAGGTAGGCAAAGTTTATATGGTTTTTTTTTGTCAAAACTAAGTTTTTTTATATTAATTTATAAATTTTATGCATGTACACTAGTAAATAAATAATTGCTTATGTATACAAAAAAATTGAAAAATAATAATAGTTTTAGAGGTTGTTCAAAACGAAATTCAAATGGAATTTAAATTCAAACTCTATTTGGCGATGTAAAATGTGATCAACTTTCAACTTAATCGAATAAACATCAGAGGTAATTGCGGGCGCAGCGCGGAGTGTGAACACAGGAAACACTTGTCACCTACTTTTACATACATGAAAAATACACCTATTTGTTAATAAATTGCCGCTGTTTCATATTTCTCTGCATTTTAGCCTTATGTTGTTACGACACGAGCATTAATTTGTAATTTATTTTAAGCTACAATAGAATTCTTTCTATTTTATTCAATACTTAAATGGAGGAAAATTCTTTTTCAAGATATATTTGATGCACAAACTCGTCTCAAAGAATTAATATTAGAACAGCTATGGGTTTTAGTTCAGTTATTAATAATACTCAGTCCTCGTGTGTTAGAACATCAATATATTCCTAATTTTACTCAAAGCTCTTGTAACATATCAATGAAGTAAAAAATGTACTCATACGACTCAAATGTGAAAAAATGTACGCTTACACATAATTTAGTACGAAAATAAAAGAACTAAAGTATTACAAATTAGCGACTTACCCTCGCTCCACTCGGGTTCATTTCTTACGTTTTAATGTTTAGTATAGATTTCTAAGAGATGAAATGAAATGAAAATGATTTCTCGACGTACAGAACTCCTAAATAAAAAAGATAAATCTAAAGAAATGAGGCATGAATTAAAGGAACTATACAAAAAGACAAACAGAGCAATTAGGCAAGATTATGAAAACCATAGAAAAATAATCATAGAAAGAAATATGGCAACATTTAGAAGCTCAAAGAGAGCCTTTAAAGAACTGTCATCGCACAAAAAGTGGATACAGGGCCTAAATGATGGAAAATATGAAATAAAAAACAGAGAAGACATAATAAAGCGCGCAACAGTATTTTACTCAGATCTCTACAGAAGACCAACCCAAGAAGGAGCTCAGAAGGTCGAACGACCCGAAACTAACATTATAATAGAATCTCAATTAAAGGAAAACTCACTAGATCCTATAAACGAACACGAGATAGCAAGACATATAAAGAGATTAAAATCTGAAAAGAGCCCTGGACCTGATAAAATAACTAACGAAGCCTTGAAACTTGGTGCACATATTCTGGTACCATACCTGACAAAACTTTTTAACATGATAGTAGAACAAGAACAAATACCGAAACAATGGTGCAGATTGTAGGCTTACTTGGTGATGTGTGCAGTTGTAGAAGGAAAAATAACGTTAACTAAGTCTTTTAAACTGTTTGTATTAATTATTAAACACGATACACAGAAGAGACAGTTTATAATACACATTAATAGTCCAAGAGCACATACAATAAAAGAGTTAAAGACATAAACGAATACTAGTAAATATTAAGAAGATAGAAAATTAACATATAGCAATTAACGAGTACGTATAACTGAGTGGCGTAATTACAAGCGACACGGGCTTCGCGTTGCAATAGCATTTGTCGAGTGTGTCGTGCAGCGCGGCGCTCGCGCCTCGCGCGGGTCACCTTCAAGTTAAAAGTATTATTCCGGGAGAAGGAGTATTACGGAACATCTATATTAGAAATATTATATTTTAACATAATAAATTAATTAATTGCTATAATTGTATGTATATAAATGTACTTAATTAAATTGTAAGATAAGTTAGGCTACATAACTCCCCCCGGAGACCGTGACTACGGTCGATAAAAATCTGGTAGCCGGACTCGTCGGCCGCTGGAAGTGCGTTTGATGTCCTCTTGCGCTGTTATTGGTTGGACTGGAACTTGAGCTTCTTTTGCTATGTACGCCGGTTTGAGTCTATCGACTGATACATTTGCAGTCTTTCCGTTTATATCTAGGGTGAAATATTTAGGCTGCCGGTTGACAACCTTATAGGGGCCCGTGTACGGTGATTCCAGAGAACCTCTCATGCGATCTTGACGAACGAAGACGTGAGAAGAAGTGTGAAGATTGCGTGGCACATAGAAGGATGTAGTGGTGTGCCAGGCTGTAGGACGGGGTGACAGCTTTGCCATGTACGCGCGAAGACGAGTCGCGTACTGTGTGACGTCCGCCGTCTTGTAGTCGTCGCTTGGGCACAGGAACTGCCCGGGCAGGCGAAGAGGCTCACCATACACCAGTTCTGCAGGAGACGTCTGAAGGTCCTCCTTCCAGGCATTACGCATACCGAGGAGTACCAGTGGAAGGGCTTCAGTCCACTGCGAAGCGTGGCACATTATCGCCGCCTTGAGTTGGCGGTGAAGACGTTCGACGATACCGTTCGCCGCGGGATGGTAGGCTGTTGTGCGGAAGTGGCGCGCACCAACCAAGGCTGTGAGAGCGTTGAAGAGGTGGCACTCGAACTGGCGACCACGGTCGGTGGTCACTCTTTCTGGACAGCCGAATCTGGATATCCACCCAGACACGAGGGCGGCAGCACAGGTCTCGGCGGTGATGTCCCGAAGCGGGTACGCCTCGGGCCATCGAGTGAACCTGTCGATGACTGTTAGGCAGTACCTGTTATCAGAAGAAAGAGGTAATGGTCCTACGATGTCGAGGTGAATATGGGAGAAACGTGAGGAAGGAGAAGGGAAAGAAGACAAGGGAGATTTGGTGTGACGGGAAATTTTATTTCTTTGGCAATTTAGACATTGCCTAGCCCACTCTCTACAGTCCTTGCGAATCCCTGGCCAAACAAATCTTTGTGTAACCAGTCGCACAGTAGCTGAACTTCCTGGATGGTGTAAGCTATGAAGCATCTCAAAGACTTGCCTGCGGAATTCTGCTGTTATGTACGGACGAGGCATTGGTAGTGAAGTGTCGCAGTAGATAGGCAAATCGCACGATTCGGTGCTAATCTTCTTCAACCTCAAGGCTGTACCATTGTGAAGTAGCTCCTGCAGCTCCGGATCACTTTCCTGAGACCGTGCAAGAGACTGGTAGTCAATGGCACAAGATACCTCTTCCACCCGTGATAAGGCATCCGCAACGACGTTGTCTCGTCCAGATATAAATTTGATGTCAGTCGTAAATTGAGAGATGAAGTCTAAGTATCTGAACTGTCTAGGTGAACACTTATCTCTGTTAAGCGAAAATGCAAATGTGAGTGGCTTATGGTCCGTAAACACCATAAACGTTCGAGCTTCTACCATATGACGAAAGTACTTTATCGCTTCATATACTGCAAGCAATTCTCGGTCATACGGACTGTACTTCTTCTGCGCTGTATTTAATTTTTGAGAGAAGAAACCCAGTGTTCCCAATTTTCGCCCTTCTTCTGCTGTAGCACGGCTCCAATAGCTACGTCAGAAGCATCCGTGACTATTGCGAGTTCAGCGATAGGATCTGGATGAGATAGTAGTGTGGCCTGCGAGAGGGAAGCCTTACAACTATCGAAAGCCTTTAGTATATCAGGTGTAAGCGAGATAGGCTGTGAGCCTTTAATGCGTGGGCCAGCGAGGATATTAGTAAGCGGTGCCTGGATCTGCGCGGCTTTAGGAATAAAGCGTCGGTAGAAATTTAGCATACCAAGAAAACGTTGAAGCTCCTTTACTGTTTTCGGTGCTGCGAAGTTCTGGATAGCTTCGACCTTTGTTTCCAAAGGCTTAGTACCAGCTGCTGACACCTGATATCCAAGGAACGTCACCTCTGCTTGCCCCAGTTTGCACTCTGATGTATTTATTAAAATCCCATACTGTTTCAGGCGTTCGAACAACTGCCGTAGATGCTCCTGATGAAGTTCTGGAGAAGGAGAAAAGACCAGAATATCGTCAATGTATCCATAACAGAAATCCAAGCCGAGAAGAACTTCATCGACGAATCTCTGGAAGGTTTGCGCAGCGTTCCGTAAACCAAAGGTCATGTATGGGAATTCATACAATCCAAAAGGCGTTGTGATCGCGGTCTTCGGTACATCCTCTGGATTGACTAGAATCTGGTTATACGCCTTAACCAGATCGATGGTGGAGAAGACGGTGCACCCTGAGAGCTGATGAGAAAAATCATGTATATGACGTATGGGGTACCTATCTGGAATAGTCCTGGCGTTTAAGGCGCGATAATCGCCGCATGGTCTCCATCCATCATCCTTCTTCCTCACCAAGTGTAGTGCAGAAGACCAGGGACTCTCCGAGCGTCGTGCAGTACCACATGCGAGCATGTCCTCGAACTCCTTCTTCGCCGCTTGTAAGCGAACTGGATCAAGACGGCGTGGCTTGCAAGAAACAGGTGGACCTGGAGTGGTTCGAATAAAGTGCATAGTATTATGTTTAGACGGAGATTTTATACCTGCTGGTCGTGTTATCTCTGGAAATTCGCGTAGTAAGGTGTGGAATTCCGTATTCCCGGTAAAAGCCTTAACTGACGAAATGTGGTCAGATATTCCCGACTGGATAGCTGCAACTGACAGGGTGGTAGTGCCATCAACCAGACGCTGGTTCTTACAGTCCACTAGGAGGTTGTAGTAGCTCAAGAAGTCAACTCCTATGATGGCCTTGGTAACGTCCGCGATAGTGAAGCTCCAGGTGAAGTCTCGCCTGAGGCCCAAGTTTAGGCATAGACGAGTAGGCCCATAGGTATGTATCACTGTATTATTAGCAGCGACGAGATCGAACTTGGATTTGGTGCAGGGCATCCGAATAGCTGACCGCGGGAAGACACACAGGTCGGAACCAGTATCCACTAAGAATTGCATCTTCGTTACACGATCGGTAACAAACAGACGGCCTGTTGTTGTTGGGCAGTCGTGGGCCGCTACTTGCGACCGCCCTTGGCGTTTCCCGAATCGAAGTTACATGGCTTTTTACATTTCCTTGCCTGCTCACCATAAGTAAAATGATAGTAACAGTGAGGGTGATCTGGCGGGGGCTGCTTGGGTTTGGAACGGCTGCGTGATCGATTATACCTATTTTGTCTTGACGTCGCCCGTGACCGTTCAGATTTTTCTAGTCTAGTAGTAAGCAAAGATACTTGCCTGGTTAATTCCGAAATCTGCTGAGCCATGTCACTGTACCCTGGCATCTGAGTTGAAGAGGCGCTTGTTACCTGCGGCAATGACGGTGCAATCTCATACACCTTGTCAGCGAGTTCTCCCAATTTGTCCTTGTCAAGGTCCATCTGTGTAGCGATCACCGTCTGGATGTTTTGTGGTAACCTACTAGACCAAAGGGTTAGTAAAAAATCAGATGGAACTGAAGGGCCGGCCAAACTACATAAGTGACGCAAAAATTGCGATGGTTTCCTATCACCCAGTTCCTCGTGCATCAGCAGTTGCTTGACTCGTTTCTCCTGAGAAGCTGATAGCCGTTTCATTAACTCGGTTTTTAATTTCACATACTTATCGGTTAAGGGTGGGTTTGTAATAATATCTTTTACCTCAACGGCATATTGATGATCCAGCTGTGCTACTAAATAGTAAAATTTGGTCTCATCTGTTGTAATGCGGGATAAAGCGAACTGAGATTCCACCTGCGCAAACCATAACGCCGGTTCCTCTGGCCAAAATGGCGGAACTCGCACGCTGACTCGCCATATTTCTTCTTTGCTTTCATGTAAGTTAATTTTTTCCTCACTCATTCTTAATATATATATATTCTCCCTCACCGTTAAATTCCAGATCTAGATCACGTCGGGGTCACCAGTTGTAGGCTTACTTGGTGATGTGTGCAGTTGTAGAAGGAAAAATAACGTTAACTAAGTCTTTTAAACTGTTTGTATTAATTATTAAACACGATACACAGAAGAGACAGTTTATAATACACATTAATAGTCCAAGAGCACATACAATAAAAGAGTTAAAGACATAAACGAATACTAGTAAATATTAAGAAGATAGAAAATTAACATATAGCAATTAACGAGTACGTATAACTGAGTGGCGTAATTACAAGCGACACGGGCTTCGCGTTGCAATAGCATTTGTCGAGTGTGTCGTGCAGCGCGGCGCTCGCGCCTCGCGCGGGTCACCTTCAAGTTAAAAGTATTATTCCGGGAGAAGGAGTATTACGGAACATCTATATTAGAAATATTATATTTTAACATAATAAATTAATTAATTGCTATAATTGTATGTATATAAATGTACTTAATTAAATTGTAAGATAAGTTAGGCTACACAGATCAAACATAATACTGCTTTATAAAAAAGGGAATCCGCTTGACATGAACAACTACAGGCCTATCAGTCTATTATCTACAATCTAT